AATGCTGGTATTTATCTTGTGCTTTAAAGTAAATGGGAACTGTGTTCTTTTTGAAGGAGCTCCCCAACCCTCCAGTCCTGACTTGCAAGAAAGATTGACTGTGAAGCAAAAGGGCTCGGGCCCAGGGTACACATGTGAAAGAATATGTTAGCAGAGATTTGAGGCAATACAGCTGGACTAATCATCTCAAACTGCAATTGGGGGAACCATTAGTAATAAATAGCTCCCCCCCCCCAACTGCCTTGTAGAAGTCCTTTTTATTCCCCACCATAGAAGCAAGTGTAATATGGAAACTGATTTTTTCCAAATGATTTCTACATCCACAACCTGTAATGGGACAAAACCATTCTATTGCTCAAGAATCTACCACCCACTTCAACCATACGCCTATTCTCTGCCTTATTTGGGAGAGTTTTGCATTGTAACAAACTTACATCCAAAGATATGTGCGTACGTGAATATGTACAGAGATGTGTTGCAGCTGGGTGAAACACACATACTTTGAAGCCATAGTTACTATATATTAAATAAACTTGTAATATTCCCAGCACTGTTATGATGTACAGTAAAATTCTTGTGTTCTTGCAGTGAGAAGAAATGTAAAGAAAATGTAATAGTTTCAAGAAAATGTTTTTATGTGGAACAAAAATAGTATTTGGGGATGCAGTTAATATAGATTTAGTGGACACTGGTGAGAGTTCACATGCCCTTCAGGGCTAAGTGGTTTGTGAATCTGCCTTTGCAAAGGTCTCTCCTAAAAATTGTACTTTTCAATGAGAGCTTTTCCATTTGGTTCTGAATCATAGGCATGTGTGAAACTGAATCTAACTCATACAGTTGTTATTCTAGGCTATGATTCCATCAGTATTTCCTGCAAATTCCTGTTCTCTGGTTTACTTATATCTATATCTATATCATACAATAATAGTATGTGAACTTGAAATACCACTTTTCTTCACTGACCACTTGCATAAGGCAAACTGTTTTTAGACTGCTTGATGGCACCTTAATAGTTTTTCTCTCTCCTTTTTCCAGATGCATAGGTTGAGAAATGCAAATGTTAACCCTCTTCCTCAATGCAAAATGTGCACACTTTGCTCAAGAACTGAAAGAAGCCGTGAATATGCAAGAGGAACTACTGTATGAAAACCAGGATATAATCTGTCCCAGAGGTTCCCAAACCTTTTGTTTTCACCGGCACATTTGGAATTTTAGAACATACTGTGGGGTGTCCTCATGGAATAGCTGCTTGGGAATTTATGCTTTCCCCAAATGACTGCCATGGGGGAAAACAAAACACAGATTTATCAGAATGCTACCCACCCCTTCAGCCATTGTGGATGTTCTCCTGTAGGGTGCTCCCTACTTACCATTGTTTGCTGTTGTCCTTACTCTGGGCAAGTGGGCATGGGTCCAAAAAAAGTACTGGCTGCAACCGCCTATCATTTTTATTTTCTTAAAAAAAAAAAACAAAAGAAAACAACCTAATGGAGTCCACTGGGGCCCAAAGGCATTAGTGGAAATAAAGGTGACGCTGGAGGATGGTGCTTTGCTCATGCAGCATGCCAATTTCCAATTCATTTTTAATTGAAAGGTTTTTTAAATGTAAAAAGTCTATCAGATGTGATGTCTCCAGGCACATAGATGCCACACTGGGATTCCAGCTATTGCCTTTTAGTAGGACCATATTAATATGCTCGAACATATTAATCTGGCTGCTCCCTTAATTCAAGCATGAATTTAGCTCTGTACCTTTTGCGCAATAGCACATTCATGCAAATTATTCATCCAAATTGAACTGTGTCATAGTATACAACTTTGAATAGTGCTGCTGATTCAAAATCACTTAGTATAGAGAAATGGCTATAAGAAGTTTGTTTTTTATTAAGAAAGGAACCGCACTGACTTCAAAGGAATTTACACCTAAAGAAGAACTATAACCTAAGCATACTTAGACGTGAGTTCTAATAAAGTTACTCTCACTTGTTTCCATTTGAATTTAGGATCTTGACACCAAAGTGCTTAGAAATGAATCTGGAGCCATTGACATTTGTTGCTATTATGAGCTTCGTCCCCCATAAAATCTGCTATCCTTAATAATTCTATAGTTTAAATATCAAGGGGAAAAAAACCCTCTCCTTTTGCTACCAGGCAAGACTTGGACTAAATGACTACATTATATATGGACAAAACCCATTTTGTGTGGCATTAGAAGGTGGAGATTGGGAAACAGTAGCCTTCATGCCTGCAACAAATTAGTCAATCTCTGCTGGATATTAGTGAGCATCCATGCTAAACCAATGGCATATAAAATGGAGTATAGAACACATCTCGGGACTTTGATGGAAATACATTTTGTCAGGTGTAAAAAACAGACATTATAAACTGGAGACCATAACTCATGATAAGCCAGCTCTGCCCAGACTGTCTGGTTTGAAGAAGGCTTGTCCTACATCCAGCAGACTGAGGAAGGAGATCACAGGGTCCTATGGTAGAAGGGTGGATAGATCCACTTTGGAGGAATGCTCCTGCAGCCAGCAAAAACAGCCAGCCTCCCTGTCATGAGACAAAGGCGACTGCAAGCTTTCTGATTCAATTGTGTTTTATCTTCAGAGAGGGGGGCTATGTTCTTTTTTTTTTAATAGGGAGCATTACAAAATGGCCCTTACCTGTAGCAACCTACCCTGTGTCCAACAGCTGGGACTAATGGAAGTTAACTTTCTCTGACATAAAAGAGAAGTGCTTTGAGTCCCAATGTTACTGGTGACAAAACCTCTGCATATGTGTAGGTGTGAGAGGCAGAGCATTACTCCAGTATAAGTAGCTGATACTAATCATCATGTGTGATTAGTATCCAAATCCACGTCGTTCTTTGCAGGAATGGTGGGAGGAGGGGGGTTCTGACATTTATTCATACATGAAATTGAAATGAGGAACCTCTTGATCCTCCTTTGCCACCTTTAGCCCTTCTGCCTTCATGTGCAATTCACAGAACCGCTCCTACTCCTCCCATAGCTTGTTCTATTCCCTTTCTGGCACTCTCAGCTCTGCCTCTGGGGCAGATAACTCTCTTTGTTGCAAGCTACTTCTCACTTCTATAACAAGCTTTTCCTTCAAGATCAAGCTCCCAAGTAGGTCCTTTTTTTGAGCCATCTTAATCATCCATTTTCTTCTAATCCAGATATGTTGAACAGCAACCCCCCATCGCCCTGAGCCAGCATGGCTATGCTGGCTCTACTGATGGGGATTATAGTTCCACCCAGGCTGCTGCCCTAACTTAAATTATGCTCTTCCAGGGCCGAGCGGGCTGGGTCCCCAGCCCAGGCCCTTCAGGCAAGGGGCGGGGGAGAGTATGCCACTGCAGACACAGCGCCTGGCACTGCCCACCCTTGAGCAGGAGAACCTTGCACGGGCTCGCACCCATCCACCACGTCTCTTTCCTACACCCACCCTGGCTGTCTCTAGCCAAACTGGGTCTGCTTGTGCGTGTGCCGGGGAGGGAGCAGAGAGTACCGTAGGCGCACGGGGAAGTGTGGGGCTATTTCCAAAAGCAGAAGATACCTGCGCAAGGGGAGCTGTTTTTCTGCTTGGCGTTTTGCCTCGACTCTTTCATCCAGGGGAAAATCTGCTTGGTGAGGGCGGCGTTACTAGAAGCCAGGCTGGATTTGCTGGGGACACTTTTGACCCCCCCCGCCTGGGCTTTGTTTTTTTTGCCGCCGGGGGTGTTTGGAGTGGTGCGTCCGGTGGCGCTTGTGGGGGG